GTTGTCTGTGTCCTAATCTCTTCCTCTTATACGAACAGTAGTCACACTGAACTAGGGCCCACCTGAATGACCTTGTTTTACTTTAATTACCTCTTAAAGGCTTATCTTCAAATACAGTAGCATTCTGAGATACTGGGGGTTAGCACTTCAACATGTAAATTTGGGGGGAGGGAGCACAACTCAGCCCATTACACATATATAAAATTATTTAGCTTGTATAAATGTTTTATGTATATACATGCATTTATGCCCACAATACAATATGGGATGTGTATAACAGAATAGTCATTCATTCATATGTATAAATGTTTTATATACGTAAATGCATTTACAATATGGGATGTGTATAACATAATAGTCATTCATTCATATGTATAAATGTTTTATATATATACATGCATTTACACCCACACATATAGGATGTGTATAACGTAATAGTTATTCATTCATATGTATACAATTGACCCTTGAACAACACAGATTTATTCACACATTTGGATTGATAGCAAACACCTGCATAGGTATTTTGGGCACTTCTGAATTACTAACATCTAGTGGTTAGTAAGAAATTGAGTATGTGTTCATTTAAAGTTCATTAGTTAAAATCTCAACTTAGGTTAGAGATTGGGTCATTTTTAAAACCCCCCTATTACCTAACTTCTTTAATGACACTCGCTAAAACTTCATTTCATATCAATTTCCTTGTTGTATCCAAATATCCTTCAGTCTGGGATATGAAAAGTTTCCCAGCTCCTTGACTTCAGCCTCTTTTCCTTCTACCTTATTCTATCACCTATCAGGTAAACTGATTTCTCTCCATTCCCTCAGCATGTCATACACGTGTTTTGATGCGTTTCACCCTACCTAAAACATCTATCCCCCTTCATCTGCAAACCTTCAAGTCCAAGTTCATTCTTATTTTTACCTTTATTCTCTAAAGACTGAAGCCTGGAATTAGTTCTCCCTTAACTCCCATAGAACTTATGGATGCTCAGTACTACTCAAATAAGCAACACTTAATTAGAAAAGATGGACGTGTAATAGATAGAGACCAAGGTTTCTTTTGGTTTGGTTTGGTTTGGTTTGGTTTGGTTTGGTTTGGTTTGGTTTTGTCTCCCAAAGAACCCAGCAGAGTTCTGGTCACATGATAGATGTTATAAGTGCTAATTTATTGATTAATTCACAACAGGGAAACTAAATTATATAAAATGAATTATCACTGTGAAGAGCACCATAGCCTCTATACTTTTACTATAGTTAATTGTAAGATTATATTGATTAAATGAGCAATATAAATAAATTACACAGTTTTAGCATTTAAGTTGCCTATTCTAATAGTCATACATTAATATTTGTTATTTTGGCTACTTTGCATAATACAAATTCAGCTTTTATACATCTAAACTTCCCTTTACTTTATAAATTCAGGTAGTGTTTTCTAGATTAAATATTAAAAATGCTAAATGCTAAATAAAACATTATCCTTTGTAACATCAGTCAGTTGTCCACTCTCTCCTATATCATCAGTTTTTTCTCTATTTATTGGATCTTTCTTGCTGGCATACAAGCATTCTATAATGTTTACAGGTAGATACCTTTTAAATAAGGTTTTCTTGACCACACGTCCTTCAATAATTACTGCAAAACACCTCAGTGGAATTGTGTATTCCAGCACCCCTCAAATGAGTGCAAATCATCTGGGACTCTTGTTAAAATTTAAATTCTAATTCAGAAGGTTTATGCCTGCTGCTTTAACAAATTCTCCCAAAAGGTAGTGGCTTAAAACAACAAACATTTATTTGAACCTGTGGCTCAGGATCTTTCACAGAGTTGTGATCAAGGTGTTGCCCTGGACTGTAGTCATCTCTAGGCTTGACCTGGGGGAGAGTCTGCTTTCAAGCTTTCTCCTTTGGTTGTTGGCAGGCCTTATTACTTGCTATTGACTGAAGACATCATTCCTTTGCTAGGCAAATGTCTCCATAGGGCACCTCTTAACACAGCTGCTTGGTTCAAGACAGAGAGGGTAAGGATGGGGAGAAGATAAACTAGACAAAGCCAGAGTCTTCATGTAACCTAATATCTCAACACTTTGGCTTCTGTTCAAGGATAGGGGATTACACTAGGACATAAATACAAGGAGAAAAGTAGGAGTCATTGGGGGTTCCATCTTAGAGGGTGCCTGCCCAAGTAGATTTGGGGTGGGGTCTTACATTTTACATTTCTAAGGAACTCCTGGGTGATACCAATGCTATTCTTCAAGAACTTCACTTTGAAGAGTAAGGGTCTGCACTTTCTGCCTCCAATTTTACTTTTAATCATCCTTTGTTGATCACACTCACTCCAGTTAGGCTTTCTCACCCTCCACTCCACTGAAATTGCCCTTTTTGAAGTCACCAATGACTTCTACATTACTAAATCCAGCATTTGAAAAAAAATCACTCTTTCTGAAAATCTTTCCTTACTTGGCTTCTGGAACATCAAATTTATATTTCTCCTCCATTTTTCTGCTAGTTGCCTATCTCCCTGACTGTAAATATTAGCATATTCTACAATCCAATCCTTGGACCTATATTTTACCTACAGTTAACTTCTAAATGGTATCATGAGGGCTTATAGCTTTAAATTCCAAATGTATGCTGACCACTGTCAAATTTATGTCTCTGAAGTGAATTCCTCTCCTAAAATCCTGACACGTTTACCAAGTGCCTCAAAGAATATCTCTACTCAGATATCTAATAATAATTTCAAACTTAAAATGTCCAAAACAGAATTATTTGCCCCCTTCCCCCCCTCCCCTTTCCCCACCAGGCCCAACCTGGTAATCTTGCTTCTCATTTATGTTTGCAAACCCAACAAACAGTACTACTCAGAAGCTAAATTCAGTGAAAAACATGAAAGTCATCCCTGAGTCCTCTCTTACTTTCTCATATGTAAACAATCACTAAGTTTTGTCCATTCCTCTTCTTTTTATCCCTTCACTTTCCCCATCATTCTCCATCTCAACATCACCATGCTAGTGCAGACCATTATTTTGTGTTGTACAGAGATATGCATCTTTTTATTATTGATTCCAGCTTCCAACGCCTAGGCTAAGTGATTTTACTCAGCTCATCCTTTTTCCATGTTCATGGTTTCCTTTATCCTACAGAATAAAGTTTAGATTCTTTAATATTGTTTATAATGTCATACATAATCTGGCCCCTAATACCCTCTCCAGTCCCATCTACTTCCTTACCTGTGCCCTAAACTTCAGCAATGCGGGGCTATGACAGAACACTCCCTTTTGATTGTGAGTCTTCATGAAAATTGTTTTCCTTCCAGGAAAGCTCTTCCGTTTCTTTTTCTTCTTTTCTTTTCTTTTTTTTTAAAGCTCTTCCTTTTCTTCTTTGTATGGCTAGCTTTCACTTCATTCAGATTTCAGCTTAAACATAACTTCTTCCTGGAGACCACCTTTGACCTCTTAGACTAGATTTGGGACACCCACAGTGCAGTGCCTAATGTTATATACTTCCCTATCTTAACAGTCTTTTTTTTTCTACTAATCTTTGAATTATCTTTATTTTTTTCTCCCATTAAGCTGTAAGTTCTGGGAAGGCAGATCAGCAGTGGTGGATTCAGATATTTTGAAGAATGAAAAATATAATTTGGGGGCCCACTTTAAGAATATGTGTAATTATCTATTCATAATCATTGTTTTAAGTATATATATATATAATTTTCAAAAACACACATAGAAGTGAAAAAAAGAATTTTCATTTATAAAAAGAAATCACAACAAAGTAAAAAAGCTGACAAATATAAAAACATACGATCCTTTGAACATACTGCTAGGGGCCTTTCCCAGAACCCCAAATCTTAAGCTTCATTAAATATCCAGTAAATACACCTCTGCATATTAGTCTTCTTTAAAACTCTATTTCTAGTATCGAGAGCAGTGCTTGATACATAGCAGATACTCAATAAATATTTTTGAATGACTGTATTAATTGAGTTATTTTCAGTTATATTTTCCATACATTTACATTGAACAAGTTTTTCACAAACTAGATTACTTAAAACAATATGTTTTATATGTTAGAAAATGGTTCTTATAACTTTTTTATTTTTTTACTATGGTCATATTTCAAATATTAATAATGTACATATCTGTTAGCACATCATTGAGCTCTATACAAAAAGTGTATGTACTTCTTTACTAAGTGGAAAAAATTTGCATGAAAAACATACCCTATAATCTTCTACATGTGTATATATGTATATATATTTGTGTGTGTTTCTATATCTTTATAGGTCACATGTATTAAAACTTTAATTTTGAATTACTAAGATTTTGTTTTTTCAGATATCACCACAAACAGAAACCCTTCAGGGAGAAACCATCTATTTTCTGTTTGCTTTATAATATGTTTTTATAAACATTTATCTCTGGGATAATAAAGATTCCATTATTTTATATAACAATATGCATAAAATGTTTTCTTTGCTATGAATTTGTCCACAAGATATTATTTAAAGAGGCTATTTGAATTGAGACAGTAACATTGCATTCAAAAGATAAGCTATTTGGCTTAAATCTTTAGTTTGTTAAAATAGAATTAAGTTTAGTTAAGTTCCTTTTATAATAACAATTTTAATGTGCTGAGAGTTGGTGTGCTCCTATCAAGACTGTTAGGGGGTGTGTGTGTGTGTATGTGTGTGTGTGTGTGTGTGTGTGTGTGTGCAGCCCTCTGATCAATGCACACTTTTTCTTCCCATTTTCCTAAATACATCATGAAAAAAGGATGAGGTTTCCGCCTTAATTGCTTGTGCCTTTTATTCACATTCCTCTCTCAGCCAGAATTGTGAAAAGAGTGTTAGTAAAAGGCTGCACAATAGAGCTTTTCATTAGGCCCCAGCAAGGCACACAAAAGAAGGCTTTTGGAAAGAGTGAATGCACGAGTTTAATTTGCAGGTGGAGAGTAGATGAAAGGTGCTGACACCTCTATTATTCTCTTACTTAGGTGACCCTTACCCTGTTCAGCTGATCCCAACTACCATGGCAGCTGCTGCCGCGGCAACACCAGGCTTAGGCCCGCTCCAACTGCAGGTAAGTCGGGAAACAATGCAGGAGAGACCAAGGTTAAGTAAATATCGAAAACGGCTATTATCGTGTTAAAGCGGAATAAAACTGCCGAGTGATATTTGTCTCACCCTTTTTTTTGTTTTTGAATTTACTTGCACTGATCCTCAACCAAAAGTTGAGTTGTTGATCCTTTTCATTATTTGTAGCCCTGTTTTCTGTACTAAAGGCAGCTTATTGTAATTTTTTATGGCCTGCTATGATTTGACAAAAATGGGTCTAATTTTGCTTTGAGGACTGTGTAACATAATTTCGTCATAGAATGGTCCTCATTGAGATAAGAACAAAAACTGTCCACGACATTCAAACAGATTGTTATGAATCAAGGCAACTTGACAAAAATTACATTTAAAAATGTTCAGGACACGCAGTATTATGGACTCTGTAGGTCTTTTTATTCTCCTGCTAATGCCAACTCCATTGGGCAAAGATAAGTAAACCAAAAAAGCAAGCACCTAAACGAGCGCTACTTTATCCAGACATCCCAGTTAAAACCTTTATAGCCCTGAAGAATACATATTCCCATATCCCCAAGAATGTCAGTGATAATTTTACTGTAACTTTACCAGATGTCCAAGTGATTTTAGAAATTTTGTCTCTGGAGTTGGAAAGAATATCAATAATATTATATTAAAGGTATCTTTCATTATTAACTATTTAAATCTTTGAATCAGCATCCTGCAAAATCTTCCCTAGTTTCTGTTATTATGGACTTCATAGTTATGCAGTTAACAGGAAAAACAGATCATCTAATAATAGAATTAATCTCCCTGTGAGAAGTTTTATATTTTCCTCTGCCTGAAAGACACAGTATGCCTGTGAACCCAGACATAAAGCAGTTGTGCTTAATAAACTTAAATTGCATTCATGAAAGTGCATTGTCATGATAGATGATCTTCATCTGTAAGGAAAAAATAGAGTTTTATATTGTAGCATCAAGAGACAGATACATCTGGTCGGCACAGGGGATTGTCGGAAGACCCGCTGGGTTTCTGAAAACCCAGTCGAGTCTCACAGGAAGAACTCGCAAGGAACTGAGACATACTATGTTCTACAGAGGTTAATAACAGTCATTCCTATTCTACCTTTTCTGTGAAAAGCTACAATGTGTATGTTTCTCTGAGCTGGAAATACCTTGGGAAGTGTTAGAGCCATGGGGACAATTAGAGTAGCCTAACATTTGTTATCCTTTGCAATAATGACAATACAGGAAAGTGGTTGCAAAAGGTAAAACTAAAAAGAGTAGTGAAATTAAAGGAAGAGGCAAGAATATCCAGCAATCCCTTGGATTAATGGTGAGAGGAAGCAAGGGCAAGTTGGAGGCATCTCCTATGTTTCATTGTAGGATTCTAGTAGAAAGTAGCTTCATTAGGCAACAATCCAAACTTCTTTTCCTATAGAGATACTATTAAAATATTTGAAATTCTTTTATTTCCATCCTTATGTCAGGTTCCCTTATAAATTTTTTTTTCATTTTTGGAAAACAAGAAAAAGACACCAAACATATTTGCTCTTTTTTTAAAATTTTTTATTGTTATGTTAATCACCATACATTACATCATTAGTTTTTGATGTAGTGTTCCATGATTGTTATGCACAAACGTATTTGCTCTTGTTTTCACTACAATTTGATCTATAAATAGAATAAAACTCTTTTTTATATAAGTGGCATTGTACCCATAAATGAGTACACAAAATATATGAGTTTTAGTTAGGGTCTCAGTAAACCAGCACTGTAGTATAATAGGAAAATTAATAATCCAAAACTCTTTTGTGATAAGCCCTTAGCTACTGTTAAAACATTTACACATAAACACACACACACACACACACACACACACACACGTTTTTTACTCATGATTTAAAAATGGTACTCAAATGCAAACACATTTCAAAAGAATGTCATCACAGAGTATCTGGCTTTTCTTTGAAGTGGACTGACTCTACCCTTTGCTAGGACTTCTACTACTGACTTTGCCACTTATATTCCTGACACTGTATTCACAGATCCCTGACCTTGACTTCAGCTTTCCCCAGAGCCACGAAGGAGACCTATAACACTTGCCTTCTTTATGCTTGAAGGTGACAGTCAAATTCGATTCTTCCCCCACAGACCTGCCCCGATGGGTCAGAGACAAACTAACTACAACACCGAGTCAGAAGGTCTTATCTTAACCCTTATCCAACATCCGCCCCAATCCTGAATACCTTTTTCTGAGGAGTTTCATTTCAGTGGGGTGTAATGTTTGAGCCAGTTTTAATTTTCTTCAAACTCTGCTTTTAATCAGACTCCATCAGACCCCCATTTGCTATCCCTTAATCATACCATGAGTAGGCTCCATCACTTCCAGGTCCTTCTCAGACACTGAGATTCTCTTCCAGTTATTAAGATTTAGTCCTAGATTCTTACGCTAGGTTCTTTGGCAAGGCTTTCATTTCATTCTTACTACACCTCATGTTATGTATTAATATCTCCATTTGACAAGAAAACTGGGTCACAGAGTCCAAAATCCATGATTTTTAAATCATTAGAGTTGCTTCTCCAAGTACGGGAGATTTTAAACTTTGGAGACATTGCCCCTCTTAGGACATTTGCTAACTCAGCAATAAGCTAATCAAATTATAACAATAATGCTGATTAATTGGCACTCATACAAATACGCTATATGCATCACAGTGCTGGAAGAAGTGACCAGATTCATAAGGACAGCTATCTACTTCAGGCTGCACTTTCATTTCAGCCCTCTTTACACAGATACATGTTAATTCAAGCCTCTCTTTTTGAACAGCCAGATCTAAGGAGTGACACTATAAATATATTCCTATTCATCATTGACTTTGTTTGCCTGCCATTTGTGTTTTCTTTTGAAACAGTCTTTGGCACGTAATTGTTCATAACCTGGATAACGTAATGTTAAATAGAACCAAAAAACCATGACCTTCCTTAAAGAAAGAATGAAGATGAGTACAGTTATGTTAAAAGACAAGCAAAATGACATGTTTTAAATTAAGCCACTATTTATTACTTAATATTATTTCACATTCCTGGATAAAAATCATGAAATTCTTGCCATGTTACATTTTAAAATCACCTTATTTACGTACTGTAGGAGCAATTAGAGTAATGTAGGCAATGTGATATATTTAGTTTTATTTTTCATGAAGAAAAAATAGCTTAATCTGGATTATGAATACAAAGCATACAAATTAACATGTGCCAAGGCATCATTTTATTTATTTCTTTTTGAGGTGCCTGGTTGGCTCAGTTGGTAGAGCATGCAACTCCTGATCTCAGTGGTGTGAGTTCAAGAGCTTACTTTAAAAAATATATAAAATAAAAATTGATTTTTACAGTGAAATATCTGCCTGTTTCTTGCTGTTCAGTCTTTCTTGAGACTCGGATCTATATAGACAACTATTTGTTGGCTGTCAAGAGGAAGCATGTAGGTGTTTACAGGTGTTTACAGTAAACTGAGTACAGAATGTACCTTCCCAGTTCTCTTTCTTGCCCCTAGACCGGCTCATTCTCTGGTCTTAGCAAATGGCTCTATTCCATCTCTTGCTCAACCTGGAGACATGCGAGCTCTCCTTTTCTCCTCTTCCTCTACACCTCCTCATTCACTGTCTATTCATTATACCTAATAAATACATTAAGGATCCATCCATTTCTTTCCATCTTAACTAGTACCCTTCTGGTCAGGCTACCCCCACTGCTTGCCTGATTTACCACACTAGCCCCGGAACTGGCCTCTGTCTTCACCTCGCCCCCCTCTGATGCTCTCTTTCTACTCTACGTTAGTCGGAAGGATCTTTCTGATTTTAGAAAATTTGATCATGTCCTCATCCTATTTGAAGAACCTTAAACAACTCCCTGATGTTTCCAAGTTTTCTGGATTTTTGCATGTGGTGTTTCCTCTTTCTGGAACCCCATAACCCACCACCTTTACCAAGCCAACTGCTATTTCCCTGAGGTTGTAACTTAAAACATCACTTTCTAAAGGAATACTTCATTGTCCCCAAGTCTAGATTAATGGAACACTGTGAAGGCATCGTTGGCTCATGGAAGAAAAAAAAGTTAGTAGTTTGAATTCAGTAAGATATCCATTGAAATTTTATACCTATTCTAATGTGATGACATAAACTTAGGAAAACATTATATGCCTACTACCATGTTTAGCACGACAGCATTTTCTTTACCTGTATTTAAAGAAATATTTTTATAATAGTTGTGCTCCATACTACCTTATTCAGTCTGCTCCAGCTACTCTAAGCCTTTGCTGTCCCTTGACCTGCCGAGGTGTGCTCCCACTTTAGAGCTTTATATTAGCTGTCCCTCTACCTGAAATACTCTTCCCTCTGCCTGGAAGGCTCATTCTCTCACCTCATTCAAGAATTTGCTTTAATGTCATCTCTCAGAGGCCTACCCTAACTAACCTATTTAAATCACAAAATAACCCTCCCGGAGATACCACATTTTCTATTTCCCTTATTCGTTTTTTTTTTTTTCCTATAGCACTTGTCATCTTCAAACATAGTATCTAACTTATTATGTTTTTTATTTGTTGTCTGTTCCAAATATTCTCTAAGCTTCACCAGAGCAGGGACTGTCATTTTTGTTATTGTTGTTCAATAATGAATCTCCAGTGCTCAGATTAATGCCTAGCAAATAGCTGGTGCTCAATATGTACGTACAAAATGAAGGAAACTATCGTGAGCTAACGGTCATAATAATTTTTAATAATATAACAAAGCAGTATGTGATTAATTTCTGGGACAAGTGATATTAATTTAAAGACCTGGGAAATTTATATTTTTCAGCCCCTCCTGGAAGATTCTTAGTATATGAGAAATCCCTAGCTCTGTCTCTTCTGTTCTATCCCCCCTTTATCTCATCATAACCATGGGCTGCTGCATAAAGAATGTGTTTTAGCATTTATTACAGTTTATGTAATTCCTTTAAAGTAATT